TAAAGCGTGTCTCAATAAAATCGCACAAATCTGTAATTGCTTATGATGGCAACTTGCTGTAGATTTATCTTCAACGATTTCAAATATACCGACATTGTAGCAACATGCAAACAACAATGTGTATATGTATATTGCCAGCGGTTTAACAGGAAGATAGCTGCGTCAATGTTATTTTGCATTGATAATATGACTGTATATTATTATGGCAACATGATAGCAATAATACGAATTTTGATAATGACGATTTTAAAGTTGTCAGAAAATTGCTGGCAAATTGCTACTCAATGTTATCATATCGTGAAGACGCATCAAATTGCCAACGAATAAGTGAAATAAGGACTCAGTTGCTGCAATTTTGGTAGCAACACACAGCAATGCATATTTAGCAAGCAATATGCCAGCATCAAGACAGACACATTGCTATCTAAATTCGTATTATAATTATTATGGTCGTTAATTTAAAAAATAGCAATTATTTAATTTGGACAATTAATTTACGCAGCGCCTCCTACAATTATTTTATTTATATTTTTTTTAAAGGTCGAGAGCATCATACGACTCGTTGGAGCAAAATCTCGCCAATAGTTGGCGCTCACAGACAATTATTTTCAAATTTGATAGACTGTTGACGCGTAACCTATAAAAAGTAGGTTTTAATAAATTATAACAATGGTAAGCATGTTATTCTCATTCTATAATTAAGAGACTCGCCTCGTTTTTTAATACATATTATTTAATTCTTTTCAGTTACCTCTGACTTTACTAAAAACAGCACAAAACCACCCCATGGTAAATCCTGGATTTATGCATAATATCTCTTGAAGAAGAACGTTTAAAGAGGCCTTGTATATTACTATATTAATAATCCAACTAAGTATTTTATTGCAGTTGGTGGAGCTGAAAAATGGAGAAACTTACAATGGTCATTTGGTCAGTTGCGATAATTGGATGAACATAAACCTCAGAGAGGTTATATGTACGTCAAGGGTAAGAATATTACTATGTGCATGTTGATTCTAGGAAAGAGATTTTTCTTATTTGCTTAATTGAGCTTAAGTTTTGACGGATCTATAAAATAAATACAGAAAGATAATGCTGTCCGAATGAATTGTAATCAATTCTTTTATAATAAAAACTAAAACTGAATAAAATTTACCAATATATACTAGACATTTAGTTTTAAAACATTTAGTATCAATACCTAGCATATATGCTAGTATTTATATGTTTATTTTTCTAATTTGTTAATCAAAAGTGTTTTTAATTTATAATCAATGAACCCTAAAGTTAAGCTATAGATATTCAACTCATTAGAACTAACAATTGTGTTAGGATGGTGACAAATTCTGGAGAATGCCTGAATGCTATATAAGAGGCAGTACAATAAAGTATTTGAGGATCCCAGATGAAGTAATAGACATGGTAAAAGAAGATATACAGATGAAATCAAGGGGACGTGGTGAGATGAAGGGTCGAGGCCAGAATCAAAGAGGACGTGGTGGTGGAAGAGGTAATGATTTTTCTTTATAAGATTAACCCTCTGTACATAAAAAATATCTTAAACGTACTTTTGTTAAACTACTTATTTTTAAGAAATTTTTTTCTTCAATGAAAATGTTGAAGTACTCTATAATTTGAAACATTTAAAATGAAGAGCTTTTGAAAACTAACCTTCAAAGGAACAGTAAATGAAATTCTTTTCATATTATCCTATAGAAGACAATTATCAACAATCTGATGAAAATCTTTAAAGCAATTTATTCATTGTTGTTCAATATATATCTTACAGGTACCTTTGGCAGAGGAGGAAGAGGTCCAGCACCATTGGGTCGTGGAGGTAGTACACAAGTTGGAAATAAATCACAAAATAAACCAAGACCTAAATGAAACCAAATATTATTTTTATTTTACTTCAATTACATAATTCTACGCAAATATTCGAAAATATTAATTTTCTTTTGCGAAGATTCATCAATTATTCCGATTCCTTATTGTTCCATATAATCTTGTATATGTAAACTTAATATCTTAATTTATATCAAACCATAAAGGTGCGTTGCTTGTGTGAATATTGTACTTACAAAGAGAGGCCATGCTCTGCATTTGATAGGCTCCTCTAACATTGCTGCAAGTTTGATCAAAATCGGTGAAGAGCAGAGCGTAACCTCTCCTTGTTAGTTGTACATATGAGACAAGCGCAGCAATATTACTGTATTCCTTTGTGCGAGACTGCGAGTTACGGTACATTTTACAGTAATGTAAACTATAGTGAATACTTTATTAGGAATGCGTTTTAAAATTATAAAAAGTTTTCTTATTTAATTTTTTGTCACAAATTGCAAAAAAATACATATAATAAATAATTTATTGTTGTAAGAATAAAAATGATCTATGAAAATAATCTATTGACAATTCTATGACAATTCTGTAAACTTCTGATCAGTTTTGTAAGTAATTATACAACACATAATTATTTGTGTAAACAATGAAATTTATCTTGTTTTAATTTTAGTTAATCATGATGAAATAAAAATAAAAATTTTTTTTTGTTTCAATTGTTACCTTTATACTAGTAGGAAAATTATTATCTACTACTATAGGAAATAAATTTGTATTTAAAAAAGGAAGTTTTTATTTTGGTAGTCTTACAGGATTATGTAACGACTATATTCTGAAATATATCTACTATACACAACACCTTACTTTCTAATAAATAGAATAAGACATGTAATGTACATCTTTATCAATAGTAGTTTATTGTATTGACCAAAGTATAGCGATGGTTATAGAGATTATGTCAACCGATCATATCTATTGTTCGATATCATTGAAAATAGCCGATAAACTTATATAAAACAGGTTTTTTGCAGTGAATGCAATTACATTTTCTTTTGTATATTTGTAATTATTATTTGGTGCCCATCCTTATGTTATGAATACGTGGAATAAGAAGTACTACAAGCAAAAAACTAATTATTTAAATGCAGTTCTAAATATTAATATTTAGTATTATTTCATAATCAACTAAACAAATGTCTCACTCACTTAAATTATGTGCCTTAAAAGATACTATTATGACTTAGTGCATTGTAATTCATCGTCCCTCAACTGTAAGTAAAAAAAATATCGGGTAAATATACTTTTAATATAAGACTTTTGGATAAAAATAATTAAATTTTTAATAAGTTAAACTTACTGTATGAAGCGAGATCGATTTCGTCCGGTAATTCTGTAATATTTACGTCAAACCTTTCTTGAACATCATTCAATATCTTTGCGTCGCTTTCATCGCTTACTAATGTAATGGCAAGACCCTGCGAAATATTGTGTATAAATGAGAAAATCATATACATAATTAAAAAAAGCAATTACATTGCAGATATTTCAAGATTCAAAATAACTTTACAATTCAAATTAATTACCAATAAGTCAATGTTAGATACTTCGTTTTTGTTTTAATTTTATCAGCATAATATAATAGTGAACATTGTTACAGCTTTTAAAATGTTTTCATTATACAAATATAATTTAAACATTTGATGTGGAAAATTACTATGAAATTGAATTCATCGTAAACAGCCAGAATTTATTACCTTTGTACCAAAACGACCAGCACGCGCAACTCTATGCAAATATGTATCGGAGTCTTCTGGCATATCATAATTAAATACAATGTTTACACGTTCTATATCCATACCACGCCCAAACAGATTTGTCGCCACCAAAATACGCTGAAAATATAATACTCGTTTTTTCAATCATGTACATAATTTGATTCGATTCAAAAAACTTAGTGCACAGACTTTACTTACTTTCTGAAAATCTTTGAACTGTTGATATCTGGACAACCGCTCCTCTTGCGTCATGCCCCGATGAATCCCAATCGCAGGGAAATTCTGTTCCGTTAAAAGTTGTGCTAAAGCCATACATCTTTGTACAGACTTCACAAATATGACAACCTATACAAAGCAATCATTAAAAGGTAAATAGTATATATGTAGTATTGATAATACAACTGGTATATCTGAAGAAGAAACATTTTTAATTTAATATCTTAAAATGTTAACTCGTTTAAACGTATAAATCATTCTTAAAAATAAATACTTGGAAGAATCTTCGTCAGAATTGGTGAGTAGTGATAAGATAGTCATCATAAGAAATAAGAAAAACTATTGCATCATGTAAAGATTCTCCATGATAAGAAAAAAATGGATATCCACTGCAGATTGTCCTAGTTAGAAAACAAACCTGATTAAACTCAAGAACATCAAGTAGTTCAAACAACTTCTTGTTCTTCTCGTTTTCCTTCAATTTAACGTAATGTTGCTGGAGACCGTTCAAAGTGAGCTTCGCCTCGTCATCGACATAGACCTCCATGGGCTGCACAAAGAACGTTATTTCATAAAATAAACAAATTATACAGCGCCTATGTATAATTCTCAGGCCGTAGGAATTTGCGGCTGTGTCTGCAGTCTCGATATACTCATTGTTTTCACCGCCTAAAAATCGTGCAATTGAATGCACGATAAAAAGACGTCTGTTCAAAAATACAGAGTAAAACAAACTAAAATAATATCCCTTGATGCAACTACAGCGTTTGCACAAAAATGAAAGTTTTTTAAAATACAGAATCTTTAAGCTATACAAAAAAAGACAAAGCCAAACCATTTTTTTTCTTGTAAATGTACTATCAAATATCTTTTTCTTCCTTTGAAGAAACAGCATTAGGTTCGTTAAGTTACCGTATATATCCGTAAACATAGAAAGTCCCGGCAAGAGACTCCCGCATTTCAGAGTTGCAGAGAATAATCGTAATCATCGATCGAGGTTAGTCATACAGATTACATACGGTCCGGCGACTTCCATCTCTGGGTAGTGCCAACAACGAAAACTCAGCAGACTTTGTCCCAACTGAACTTAAGAAGGCGCACTCATGACAGAACGTTCGGTCACATCCGCTGGCCACTCGATGCCAAAATCTCTTCTCCCAAATTTCTGGCACATTAAGATGCCCAGAATCGACTCGCATTACTCTGGTTGGCATAGACGCTCAGCTCTTCACTTCCGGTATCCACTAAGCCCCGACCCGATTTGCGTCACTCGTACGAAATAAAGAGCGCAATTTACAGATACACGAAGATTCGCGTGATTTAGCTTTCATGTGACTTTACGGTTTTTACGACATGAAATTGCTCGATTCATGCACGGCACTTGCATCCATGTTGACTTCACTCGTACTACGAGATCACGATCGCAATCGAAATCTTGACACCGAGACAAGAAAACTTTTAGTAAAGCTTTTAATATGCGATTGGATGAACGCGAATACAATAGAGCTATGCTACGCTTTTATATTTCTTTTCCCTAACTAATCCTAATCATCCCCCTGAATATCCTCTTGCATCTTCTTTCTTGTGCTCTTCTGTCTTCAGGTTGTCTTGAAGTCTTCTTAGCCCCCCACCCATAAATTGCAAACAAATCTCATAAGTGCATACAGAGCCTAATTCTATTCTAACTCCTCCTGACGATTACCCAGAGAAATATTTCATATCCCTATCTGTTTTTTCTCCCTCAATATATTCCCTGAACATATTGTTATCTTTTGTTATTATATGTGTTGTCCGTTAAATGCGTAGCAACTAATTAAAGGACTTTACTATCGATTGGAACTCTAACGGATCTTTCAAACATCGTGTCGGTTGACTCGATTTTAGACAAATAGGTGTATGCTTCCCCTCCACATGTATACGCAGACGATGACACATCGTCAATCGGGAGGAGCAGTGAGATATTATGTTGGAACGAGTGTCGAGCATGTGATTGCGCCGAAAGATATCGAACGAGATTCATTTTTTTCGAACTCGGTATTCATTTCTTCAAAGCGGCGTCTAAGCGCCTAACCCGCGGATGCGCCGACATTGATATTTATAGTGTGGCTTGAGCTTTGTCCTGGACACGAATATGCCAACGAGGCAGGAGCAATCGTAGATCGAAGTGAGGAGGAAGATTGTGTAATTACATCTTGCATGAATTTTTTGCAGACAGGACGTATCTCCTTGGACAGCGTGGCACTGAACATCATGACTTGTTTGCTGTGCGGTGTGCTTCTGAATATTTCCTGTACGTCCCGGCGCATATCTGTAACAACAATGTAACGCAATTATTTATTATTCGAAATGCGATGTTAAAAATGAAATTAATTTTAAAGAATCGCTCAGTTGAGTGGGTGATGGAAAAAATAGTCATCATAATAAATTAAGACTTTTTCACACATCATGTAGATTCTCTTTAATAAATTTTAAATAAATTAATTAGTTGTTTTATGACGTACCTAATAATTCAAGCATCTTGTCGCATTCGTCAAGAATAAAATGTTTCAGGTGTTTTAGATTCAATTTCTTATTCCGTACAAGAGCAAGAATACGACCAGGGGTGCCAACAACAATATGAGGACACACAGTCTTCAACATTTCTTCATCTTTTTGGATAGGTAAACCACCGAAGAATACGCCAACCTAACAAAAAGAATTTTATTAAAAATCAAAAATATAAATCTTTTTAAGATTAGAAAGAGATAGATATATCAGAAATATTTGTCTCAATCAAAAATTTCAGTTGTCCCTTTCTACCATAAATTATATTCATCATTGTATGCACAAAAAGTACATATAAAATACAGCCGGCTGTGAGAAAGTTCACCTCCTTTTCATTCATATTTTTTAGTATAGAAAATATTAAATATTCATTAAAAGATAAAAATATATTATGATCCAAATTTAATGCTATTATGCATAATATTGCATATATTGCGTAATATAATAATATTATGTAAAACTTATTTAACGTAAATGTAACAAAATATTTTAATTTATTAACAAATTTATGTGTAATATAAAATTTTATAAAAAGAACTCTTAAAAACTGCACAATATTATCCTACTTATTCGTGTTTATACACAATCAAAATGACACAAAACTTACTTTCACATGTGGCATGTATTTGCTAAACCTCTCATATTCTTTACTGATTTGAAAAGCCAGTTCTCGAGTGTGACACATTACTAGGACATAGACTTGGTTCTCTGTTAATTCCAGTTGCTGAAGAGTAGCTAATACAAATACAGCCGTTTTTCCCATACCCGATTTTGCTTGGCACAGTATATCCATGCCAAGAACTGCTTGAGGAATACATTCATGTTGCACTATAAACATCAATATAAGCATCAATATTTATACATTATTAACTTATAATTTTATTAATTATAATTTTAAAATATTACACAAGTTAAAATCAAGGAAATATAGATACATAAAAAAAAAAGTCTAATTCGATTACAAAATTTCAGTTATCTTTATCTAATCTTTATCACAAATAAACATATATTCATCATTTTATATATATATATGTATATAAAGATAAAAAATAATTATTCACCTTCAGATGGATGTTCAAAGCCACAGTCGACAATAGCACGAAGAATTTCTGGCTTCAAAAGGAAATCTCTAAATCCACTGCTGTGGATAGAGACATATGTACCTTTGACTTCCTTTTTAGATGGAACATCTCCGCTTCCATCGACTACCTGCTCAGTTTGTTCTTCGTCTTCATAATCCAAAAGATCATCGTTATCCGCCATTGTATCTTGATCACTTCGGTAAGTTTGCTGAAAAAATTAAGATAAGATTTGCAATAATACAAATTATGGAAAATATTTCAATCATTAAGAAATCAAGTTTATTCAGATAAAAGAATTGTTATGAATAAAGCCTTTCCTTTAATTCTTTCAAATATATTTCCTATATATTCACAGCTTATTAAAATATATAAGATATTACAATAAATAATCAAGCAAAAATCTATAAAAATATAACAAACTGTTCAACATCCAACAGCAAATATATAAGAATATAAAAACCACAATATGCTTACAAACTAATTTCAATTGAGTTACCTAACTTCAATTTTAATTAAGATAAAATTATTAAAAGAAACGAGTTTACTTGTTCAAGAATCACAACATGAAGCCTGACTAAAAATAAGCGATAGAAGTAAAACTTTATTAAATTAACATTATATCTCGAGAATATAGGACTCGTTTCTCATAAATAACGTGATAAATTATATATTAAAATAAACAGGAGTATATTACCGGTGCAAAATACCGCTCCAAGATGAACGATTTTGCCGGAAAAACGTTCGCGTAATGGCCGCCGCATCGGACAATGCCGCCGAAAATGGACCGGTCGCCCATGGATACCGCGTGGAATCGAGGCAATTATAGAACATCGGAGGTCGCCGATGGACGCTTTTTTTTTTTTATTCGCGATATATTCACAATTTATAGAGATAGAGCATAGATTTATCTCTCGCCGTGCACTGCCGAGACGGAAACACTTGCACATTCCAAGGATAATTTAGCACCGCGACGGTTACACTTGAATATAATTGCAACGAAAATACGGAATTCTGTCGACAAACGGATAAATGCGATACGTTATTTCGCGCGTTTCGCAAACGGATCGCTTTTTCATTGACGATAAGACTCGGATTACGGTAGGATGTTTTTTTTTCTACTTACCGTGCGTAATCTTGTAAAGACGAATTAAAACGATGAATATGGTGGTAGACGACTTCAATGAATGACGAATCCTTGCGAAACGATGATAGACGCCACGAGATGCCGCGTACATGCATCTGGGAGAAACGCAACGTAGAGCATGATGGTGTAGAAAGTAAAGGTGACTCATTGCGCATAATGGCGGAGGTCTCGTGATTTCGACCAATCAGAAATTGAGTTTATTGCGACGCGAACGAATCAACTGATGTCTACAAATAAAACTCGAAACTTGATTGGTGGCAGATTCTCCACTATTTTCACTGCGCATCCGAATAAGTCATTCTTTTAGGGCTGTCGCAGATAAAATTTCTGTAACAGTCATCTGAAGACGCGAACTTAAGCCAATCAGGATATTGCTTTAGATCTACGTACTCTAAAGTCTTGTGTCCAGGATGCTAGAAATCGGTCCGAGACCTCGGAATGAAGAAAGAATTGACCAATCGCAAGAGTTATGTGATTAAATTGTTCAAGTGATTTGTTAATTTTTTCTTTGTCCGAGATCTTGAACCGATTTCTAGCATCGTGGACATTGGACATCGGGCTTAACAGAAATAGAAATAGCAGTAAACTTATCCTTACGGCGAGTTTCAATAGTTGAAATTCACTTTATTGCAAGGTTATGGATAAGTTTATTGTTATTTCATTTCCATTCGATTATATAATCTGAAGCAGTATTCTGATTGGTTTATTAAATTGGACAATTGATATAAGAAATCGAATTATTAGATTTGTTTTTTATTCCTGCATTAGAATGTTTTTTCGCTAAATAAATATATGGAGATAATAGATTCAGCATCAAAAGTCATGTAAATTCATCCAGAGATCATAAAAAATTAAAAAATTATTTATTTTTTTATTCTACATATTCTACATATTTAGAATAAAAAACTATTGCAAAAAAAAAAATACACACATTGCGATAACATTAGAATATTAACAGTATCCGTTTTTCAATAAAAAATATATGTAATTGTAATTAAAATAATTGATATAAATTTTTTTTTTGCGAGCAGACATTCCGAATAAATATTCAATTAATATAAAAAATATAGTAACAATACTCCACATGAATATAATTGGGACATGTAATTAAAATATAATCTGAAAACGACTGTTTTGCAGCAAGCAGACGAATACAATGTAAACGAGACGCGTGTAAAAACATTTATGCATTTTTATTAACATTTTTACATTTTTTTAATAGTTACATTATGATCTGTGCTTCGCATTTATTTTATACAAAGATAGATATAATAGGTAGACAGTAATGCGCGTATCACTCCTCACCACGTGAGGCGCACTCCCTCAAACATTTCAATTTCGTAAACGATAATTTCTTTTTCTTTTTTTTTCTTTGTCCATATTCGTTTAATGTAATATATATATAATATATATAGACATACATTTATATATTTATATATATATACATATATTATCGAGATTTCCGTATATCACTTTATAATTTTGAACGGAAATACTTTTCCTAAAATTCTGCCGTCCTCGGTCGGCTTTTATTTCTTTTCCTCTTTGTTTTTTCTTCATCTTTTTTTCGTCATTCCTGCCACTCTGTTCACATTGACAAAATCGTACGCTTGACGTAGCGTTAGGATACAGCAATTTGTCGCTCAATGCGTGATGTAGCAACTTTCACATAAGATGATCGATTAATGCAATTTTATAATCATTCCGCATTGAAACACTGAAAAAAAATAAACTAGACCGATTAAAAACATTGAAAGACAATTTTTTTTAATTTAAATAAATATTTGACGGCCTTTGTTGATTATATCTCACATATTACTTTATTATTTTACAAATTATGTACCTCAATTCTTTCTTCTTTTAGATTACAGACTATGTATTTTAAATTCACTTGTTTATAATCAATTAACCGTTAGTACATATGATGAGTCATTTGTGTCCTCTGTGTGTTTTTGTCACTTTTATAAAAACTATTAAATAATTCTTACATATAGTTTAGAAAATATTTCTATAGTCATATATTAAAAAAAATGTTTATGTATAAACATTATAACTAATTTCTTGGTGTATCTATTTCAAAGAAAAGAAATGCAGAACACAAATGACCCAGTCATGTACATTAAGGATTAAAAATCAGTTGTACAAATTCAGTTTATCAGAAAAATTAACGAATCGCGAAACTGCTTATAAGGCCGAGTAGATTATATGGATAAGAACCTTTTTAATTGTTTTTTACATGGAAATTTAAAAAATTTGTAGTTTCAGGATATAATTAAAATATATATTTTTTTTAATATAAGGGAGACCAGATTTATATATTTACTAAGTGGGCATCAGGGCTAAGCTAGCATTTGAATTTTGAGTGGCAAAAATATCTTACGAGTTCCCAATTTATATTGTAGATGACATCTCGTGTATCTTCTTTACTAACAAAAATTTTGTTAGTTTAGATGCCGCGTTATTATGTTTAAATAGTCAAACATATTTTCGATAATCAAAAATAATTTTTGAGATTTCATTTTTCGAATCATATCATTTTTGTGTATATGGATGAAGTTGTGAACACTAAAACTTTTTATTGCCATCTTGTAGTCTTATAATCACTCTATAAACGCTAATAATAATATGATTAAAATCGTTAATTTTATTATTTGAAAACTGCAATTGGAAAAAAGTGCCCACTTAGCTCTAGTCTTCCCTACATAAATAGTAAACATATATTGTTAATTATATTCATTGGTGACAAAGTATACGCATACGTTTAATCTTTAAAAAATTTCTTTGCAATAGAATTTATAATTGTAACATAAAAAACTAATTTTTTTCAGATTAGTTATGAAAACTTAAATGTTTCAAAAATGTGATCTTTATCAATGTGAGCCCCAGCAAAATACATTTTCAGTACTTTTCACAGTTTCGATTTTTGTCTTTTGCTATCACTCATTTTATATCTTCAAGCTGCAATTGAAATCTATTTCGATCACTGACATTAATATCAAAGGAATTGCAGCAAATTCATAACAAAATAACTAACTAGTCAGGCAACAGTTAGGCACTATTAACAAATTACTCTGTACATATATTTCGTCCTTAATGGACGTACTGTCAATAGGCTGTTGGAAATTCATCATTTCATTGTATTTATCTCACAAAATAATATAAACATAAATTTATTAAAAATAAATGATATTTCAGATAAACAGAAATAATCTTGTTGCAATATAAAGTTTATCCACGCTATTATTTAAATAACCTAACTAAATAAGCCAATTCTCTCATAAAAGTACAGAGAATAAATTGCATGATATTGCAACTGAAAACACATTTGTGCATGTAGAAACATATAATCTCTTTGACATTAATGTCGTCCATTTGTCTGATGTAGTAGAGTATAGATGTTACACCTCTTCAACATTGTAATTATTTAAATACCTATTGACATAAGCACGCGGATGAATTTCACCTGAGCCATAATTTCAGTCGTAATGCATCCACGCCATTTAAGTAATATCGAAATAATCGTTTATCCCGCACAAATCCAAGATTTTCGTACAAGCGCAGCGCCGGCCTGTTAGTAATTTCCGTCTCCAGAACCACCTCGTCAGCGTCATCCTCCACCATTGCTTGGATAGCTTGTCTCACCAGATTCGATCCAATTTTCCGTTTCCGATATTTCACGTCAACAGCCAGCATTGCGATATAACCACGCTTTATCACTTTCCTGTGGATGTCTAGTTTGCAGACAATGGCACCAACGCATTCATCACCATGCATTGCCTTGATAAACAAAAGAACAGTTTTACTTAAATTCTACCTAAGAGCTGAAAGAATTGAAGCAATTTTTTTATAATTCTTTGATAATTTATGAAATTTTTGAAACAATATCAGTCTTTAAATGCCCCATAATAACAAATTATACAGAAACTGCAACATCTTTATTAATATTGCAAAAACAATACACATGTAATATCACATAAATTAACTTAAATAATAATTTGAGTGATAAAACATAAAATAGAGATTTTTTGGAGAGTACATACCAGGAAGCACAATTTCGGCCAATTATGAATAAAATATCTATATGTGTAAATAGAATATGGTTCACTTAGGTCCTTCTGTATTAATTTCATAATATCAGGCATTTGTAATTCACTTGTATAGCTAACATATCGGATATCGTTGTCTTTACTTTCCATGGATAATGTTCCTGCTTGTTCTGTAACATAACAAGAAGCAGATGTTTTCACCCATTTCCTAGGATTGTACACACAGTTGTATAATATATAAAAATTGTTCTAATTAAAAGATTTTCTTTTAACACAAGTCTTTCAACTTTAAGTTATAATTTACATAATTTAAAAATTTTCAGATAAATAAAAGAAATATTTTTAAAGCAGCACTTGACTAGATATCTTCAATTGGCAAGAAAAAATGTACTAGGTTCTATCACACAAGATCAGTAGGATCTTTTACAAGAATAGATGAATGATTTGTTCTATTTTATGATTAGATATATAAACTGAAGCTTGTCTATCGTATCTACTGCACATGGTGAACAAACTGGCATTATATACCATGTTGGTTTAAATGACTAGTTTCCATTATTTTAGATTGTGGGGAGAGATCAGCAGCAGTTCTTTGAGGAGAGTCGCAGATACCATTCACTTGAGCTACCCCATTGACATGCGGTTCTCCGCAAGCCTCTGTCGTCTCCAAACTGAGACGAGACTTTATATCTAAGGTGACATCCGCTATCGAGTCCCGTTTCTTCGCCTTGATTTTGTTAGCCACTTCCGAGTCATTCACTTCCATGCCGTCTTTCATCTTGTCAATATCCATTTTTCAATTTTCGCTACTTCTCTTGTCTCTCAAAATTCTCTTTCCGCGCCGAAGAAGAGGAAAAACGGGAGGATCACGGCCGCTCTATCCTCGAAGCACTGATCCCTTCACGGCTGTCGATCGTGCACGAGACACAGTGGCATCAGAATCTTCACATGCGGCGTGGAGCTTTCAATCGAATTTTCATAATTACCGCTAGCCACGCGGTTGTCAGATTGTGATTCTATTCCGAAATGCGGACATCCGTAATAAACTGCTGAACGACGGACACCATAATGGATTTTCTGCGGTGACTACTGGACTCAGTCATGGGGTATGATCTTCTCGAGACTTGTCTATGAACAGGAGAGAATGCATCCTTTGCTCCGAGGGGATTGATTATGTATTTTGAAATAAGGTGAAAATTATAAAATAAAAATTTACATTTATAGATAAATTTACCAGGTGTTTATCAATAACATTATTAATATTCTAATAAATTTTTTCACTTTTGTAATTGTCATCTTCATTTCAAGATACACAATCAATCTCCTATTTGCGCTGCTTGCACTTTTTGCACTTAGCACTTTTAGCACTTCACTTTTTCTTTTTTCAACGTCCAGATGTATAGTTATCTTATTTTACATATAAAAACTTTTAAAGATTTTAAGCAACGCGAATAAATTTTTTATCTCAATTTTAAATGCAAATATATTTGGGGATTTTAAGTAATCAAATATTAAAAGGATTTTAAGTAAACAAATCTATTGTCAAAGACGATTGGCCATTCAGAACGATCGGTGTTCCAAGTTTTTTCATAAAACCAATCAAAAAGACCTCTAATGAATTGACCAATTGGCGACGAGAACAATCAATGCTATTCCAAAGTATTGGATCATGGCCATGTCAAAGTTTCGCTACAAATGCCTTTGATGACCAATCAGAAAAAAGAATTTTACAAATTGACCAATCAAAAATTTAAAGCATTGTAGCATCGCGTTGATCGTATTCTAGCTTTGTTTAGCTCTATGGAAGATTGGAAGTAAACAAAGATTTTTGGCCGTGTATGAACTCCGAATACGGTAACAATTGCGATCAATTATAGAAGAAGAATTGTTAATTATTATGACTGATTATAATTGTTATCAAAATTACGCTTGAAAACAATTTAAAAAATTGTGTTACATAGAATATGTTGCACGAGAACAATATATGGGAAATAATTATTTATTATGTTTACGAGTCTGATAGCAAATTTAATAATTATAGATAAACAATATTCTATAATTTACTTTCTATTATGTAAACATATAACATATATCATATGTCTATTATCCTAAAAATTCTATTGTTACAATAATTTTATAAATTATATTCTTGCTTCTTTCAGTCTTGTCTGCAGTATCTTGCAAATTTATGCGCTTAAAATAAAAATACCACACATTACAAATTTATTTTTAACATAAAAGTGTATTCTAAACATGGCTCAATTAAACGGTTTAAAGCATGTAGTGATAGGTGAGGATATTTATATGTAAACTGATCAACAATTTCATAATATTGCAAAAGATTAATCGTGTTATGTCAGTAGAAGTAAGATCATATAATGTTTTCAGGTGGTGGTACTGGCTTCATAGGAACGCAGCTAATAAAATCACTGAATCTCGCGGGTGTTTCCTGTACATGTATTTCTCGGATGCCAGGACCAAATAGAATATCATGGGTACATGAGAATGGATTGTTTTTGATGAATTTGCATTTTAGAATTTGCATGAGAACGAATTTATTTGTTGGTAAGAATTAATCCAATGATAGTCATTGTATCTATAGCATGATTTAGAGCACTATGGTCTACCGGAGAACACATCAGCTGTCATCAATCTTGCTGGACAGAATATACTGGATCCTATGCAAAGATGGTCACCTGGATTTAAGCAGAATGTTAGGAACAGCAGGGTGAAAACGACGAAGGCTCTGGCAGATTCTATACAGAATACTAAGGCTACAGTTTTTGCAACTATATCAGGAGTAGCGTATTACAAACCCAATGATACTGTATACACAGAAGAAAGCAAATGCGAATCATATGACTTTCTCTCGAGTAAAATCTTATTTTTTATATGTAATATAAATATTTATATATTTTATATTATTAATTTTTCAATTTTGTCAGGACTTTGTCACGATTGGGAGGAAGCGGCAAAGTTACCAGAAGATAGCAACATTAGACAAGTAACGATAAGATCCGGAGTTGTGTTAGGAAGAGAGGGTGGCATGATCAAAAACATCTATTTTCCATTCTTAGCAGGACTCGGTGGACCATTAGGAAGTGGAAATCAATACATGCCTTGGATACATATTATTGATTTAGTTTGCATGTTTATATTTGCTCTTACAAATAACAATGTGCATGGTATATTAAATGGAGTAGCGCCTCAGGTAATACAAACATTTCATGAAGGAGAAAGGTTTTACATTGATCTTCAATTGAAATATAATTAATTGTACATATATCATTCTGTTAATAGCTTGTAACAAACAAGGAGTTTACAAAAGCGTTTGCAGCGGCACTAAAAAGATTCGCGATCATACCTGTTCCAAGTTTTTTCTTAAAATTGTTACTCAATAAAGAACGAGCAAAGGTATATTTAACAAGCTTAATACTAAATGTAATAATTTGATGTTAATATAATACTTGGTATTTTCGTTTTAGATAATGTTGGAAGGACAAAAAGTTGTACCAAAGCGTGTTACAGAGTTAGGATTTCAATATCAATATCCAGATATTGAACGTGCTTGTAAACAACTTGTTACATCACGTATTACGTAAAAGGATTTATTTAATTGTTATAAAAATCGATAGAGATCACATACATATGATCATTGTAAAACTATTATAGTAATGTGATAATGTTATCTAATTAATAACTGTATTAATAAGTGATGAATTTATATAAGTTTTAAAGTATTCTCTGCGATGCTTTGAACAATTGTTATTTAATAATAAATTATTTATTGCAGCACAAAATCAATAAAATCTTGCTTTTTTACACACAAATTTGTCTTAAATCACGAATGAGATACAATGTGAGTAATCTCTCAAGAACATGTACAACATAAACGAATAATACTTGATTAATTACATTCTTTATGAAACTGGTATAAATTGGGAGGTGAAGGAATGGTGCAAATGTTTCTAATACACTTGACATAATTGAAACGCGTCGAGTTTCCCATATAAGAACTTCTTCTCAAGTTTGCCAATTGATAGCTGTTAAGTTGCGTTCCATGCATTAAACTTGGATAGCTCAAATTCTGCTGCACTTGGTAACACGTTCTGTCCAATGTACTTCCTAAAACATTGTCCGAGACAGTAAACTCGTTGGACACAGGTAGACATGTTCTTGGCAAGTTTGGCAAGTATTCCTCGGAATCAGAAGGAAGTAATAATCGATTCGAAGGATCGACTAAAGATTGATCGAGATATTTGAGCCGGCTCATGTTTAAAAAATGATTGATTTCTTTCCTCAAATCTTGTATCTCCTTTCTGGTTAGGCCTTTCATATTGAGAGTGATCATCTTCCCGTTTCTGTGCAGAATAAAGAGACCCATCTTGGTAGAGACCCCAATGTACTGGATGTCGGTAAGTTTCATGAAGGAGAGTTGACCCGAACTACCCGAGCACAGTTTATCGCTCCAAACGGATTTCTTGACAACAGCTTTGTTTTCATCCTTGTACAAAATCAGATCCTCCCATTCTCCAAAATTATCCAATCCGAACATGATCTCGCCCAGAAGCAAAATAATCAGCAGGTACACATTGTTTATCAAGCGGCTAAATATTCCGATGAAGATTACCACAGACACTGGAAAACATGGTTCGTTTAGTGTGTAATAGATATTAAGAATAAAAATATAGAAAATAGACGCGCATACACATTTTGTTTCAGTGACTTTAAGAATGCCAATTAAAATACAGAAGATATTAAATGAAATTATGATTTAGATTGCAATCACATAAATGCTAGATTTTAGCGTACTATAAATGTTGAGAAATTGCACTACGTATATATTTAATCGATTTGTTGACTGAAAATGAAAAATATTTTATACGCTAAAATTTGAAGACATAATAATTTGATAAATCATTTCTTACGACCGAGCAACAGCCACGTGATGCATCCTGGCCTTCGCGATATGTGTAATTTATTTTTATCTAGTATGAGCTCAGGCTTTGCAATCGGGATCATATTGCAATCATGGAATTTCACAACATTGCAGACAGAATTTCGACAGATACCCTATAATCACGCGAAATGAGGTGGAAGGAGTAAGGAAATTTTGACACATGGCGCGAATCATCGAAGATTAGAGATTGCATCGTGCATTTGTTATTTTTAATAATCGAGCATGAGTAAGAAAATATGTAATCGAGCACACGGTGATTTATCGTATAAATTCATTAAATATAATATAAAATAAAAAATTTTGATTAAATAGCACTGCGAAAAAATTAATTTACGTAGAAATTTGAAAAAGATAGAAATTAGCGATATAAACGGCTCTGATGGAAATAAAAATCAGAACGTAAGTCGAATGTAATGGGAGAGTAACAGAAGCGTAAACGAAATTTCTAGGAGGTAAAAATTGAAACATTAAAATATAAAAGAAGTGTAAGTGCTTTTACATTTTATTGTTCGAATTTTCGCCTTCTAGAAGTTATATATGTTTCTATTACTCTCCTATTACATCCGATTTACGCTCCAATTTTTATTTTCAAGGGGTAATACACATATATAATACGTTACATTTTGATGATACAAAATTTTTAAATATTAGAGATTTAGTTTTATAAAGATTTTTTTCTCAAACACTGATTTATTTAAACAAGATAATGAACGAATACCTTAATCAAAATATTTTTCTTCATTCTCTGCAACTTTTTCCCATCTTTCTGACAAGAGGTAATTAATATGAAATCCATTTTCCTTCTTTGTAAATCTTTCCCATTTCATGTAAACGTTTAGATAACTGTTGTACAATCAACATTCAATTGTCTGGCAAGTTCTGAAGTGGATTGTGCTGGATTTTCTTTCAACAATGCTTGCAAATCTGCATTTTCTAGCTTTTTTGGTTGTCCCGAGCGATCTTTATCACTAACATTGAAATCACCACTTTTGAATCGCCTGAATCAATATTCACATATCTTAATTGATGGAGAAACACCATCATAAGTTTCTATCAAAATTCTACCTTCAGCCGCCGTTTTTGATTAAAAAACAAAAGCAATGCATGTCGAAAATGTTC